CTTACCTGACACCCTAGACCCACTTGAATTTGCATACCGCCTCAATAGATCCACAGACGATGCAATTGCCGTTGCACTGCATACTGCCCTATCCCATCTGGACAAGAGGAATACCTATGTATGAATGCTGTTCATTGACTATAGCTCAGCCTACAACACCATTGTACCCTCCAAGCTCGGGGCCCTGGGTCTGAACCCCGCCCTGTGCAACTGGGTCCTGAACTTCCTGACGGGCCGCCCCCAGGTGGTGAAGGTAGGAAACAACACCTCCACTTCGCTGATCCTCAACACAGGGGCCCCACAAGGGTGTGTGCTCAGCCCCCTCCTGTACTCCCTGTTCACCCATGACTGAGTGGCCATGCACGCCCCCAACTCAATCATCAAGTTTGCAGACGACACAACAGTAGTAGGCCTGATTACCAACAATGATGAGACAACCTTCAGGGAGGACGTGAGGGCCCCGGCGGAGTGGTACCAGGAAAATAACCTCTCCCTCAACGTCAACAAAACTAATGATTTGATCGTGGACTTCAGGAGACAGCAGAGGGAGCACGCCCCTATCCACATCGACAGGACCGCAGTGGAGAATGTGAAAAGCTTCAAGTTCCTTGGCGTCCACATCACTGACAATCTGAAATGGTCCACCCACACAGACAATGTGGTGAAGAAGGCGCAACAGCCCATAAGACCCTCACAAACTTTTACAGATGCACAATTGAGAGCATCCTGTCGGGCTGTATCACGGCCTGGTACGGCAACTGCACCGCCCACAACCGCAGGGCTCTCCAGAGGGTGGTGCGGTCTGCACACTGCCTGCCCTCCAGAACACCTACAGTACCCGATGTCACAGGAAGGCCAAAAAGATCATCAAGGACATCAACCACCCAAGCCACGGCCTGTTCACCCCGCTATCATCCAGAAGGTGAGGTCAGTACAGGTGCATCAAAGCTGGGACCGAGAGACTGAAAAACAGCTTCTATCTCAAGGCCATCAGACTGTTAAATAGCCATCACTAGCCAGCTACCACCCGGTTACTCAACCCTGCATGTTAGAGGCTGCTGCCCTATATACATGGAAATATAATCACTGGTCACTTTAATAATGTTTACATACTGTTTTACTCATTTCATATGTACATACTGTATTCTACTGTATTTTAGTCAATGCCACTCCGACATTGCTCGTCCTAATATTTATATATTTCTTAATTCCAATACAATTTGATTTGATTTGATAGCGTGTGCTATTATAAATGCAAGGGCGTATCATCCCTAAGGGCTCATTCCACCAGAGGTATTGGTGCGTCATGGGCACTGTTCAAAGGCATCTCTGTGCAAGAGATCTGCAATTCAGCATGTTGGGGCACCAACCATACCTTCATGAGGTTCTACCGACTGGACGTCACTGCACCCTCTTTGGCACATGCGGTGCTTAGTTTCGGGACCTCTGAGGGTTGATTAGCTGGCTTTGGAGAGTATACCAGTGCTACGGGAGTTGTCTATATCCCATATTGAGTGACTGAATTATTATTTGAAATTTACTTAACGTAATCCCGGTTCTATGATAATATGACTGAGGTCACTCAGCGCATTGCCCTTCACGCTCTGCATAAGGGAGAACGTATACTTGTGAGGTGAGAGATTGCGCCTTAAACAAGTTGGGTCCTCCCGATTGGCTGTCGCTCCTGTCTGTCTACGACACACGTTGTGTGATAGGAGTTCCTTATTGACCACGCCCAACATTTTTACATTTGAGTCATTTAGCAGACGCTCTTATCCAGAGCGACTTACATGAGCAATTAGGGTTAAGTGCCTTGCTCAAGGGCACATCGACAGATTTTTTACCTAGTCGGCTCGGGGATTAGAACCAGCAACCTTTCGGTTACTGGCACAACGCTCTTAACCATTAAGCTACCTGCTGCACAACGAAGGCGTTACCCATACTGAGTGACCTCACTCATGTTATTATAGAACCGGGGTTACGTTAAGTAACCTTACGTTATTGGGTCGGTCCCTTGATCTTCGTCGAACTACACACATCTATTGATGTGACCTATGTACTGTAATTGTGCATCTCCTATTCAGTTGTGTGGTTGCTATTCTGGGCCGTGAGCAGTGGTGTAAAGTACCTAAGAAAAAATACTTTAAAGTACTACTTAAGTAGTTTTTTGGGGTATCTGTACATTACTATTTATATTTTTGACAACTTTTACTTTTACTTCACTACATTCCTAAGGAACATATTGTACTTTTTACTCCATACATGTTACCTGACAACCCAAAGTACTTGTTACATTTGAATGCTTAGCAGGACAGGAAAATTGGGAAATTCATGCACTTATCAAGAGAACTCGTGGTCATCCCTACTGCCTATTGTCTGGTGGACTCACTAAACACAAATGCATATTTTGTAAGTAATGTCTGAGTAACTTTCTATTAACGCATCTATACCTTTACTCAAGTATGACGATTGGGTATTTTTTCCACCACTGGCCGTGAGGGAAACGTCCCATAGATTTCCTGGGAATCAGCAGCAGGGTGTGGTGAAGTTCAGTGACCCCATGCTGACTAACACTATTCTGACTCACTACATCATTATCCACTGTTCCTGTAACTAACACCACCTCCTTCTTCCTCTCTCTCTCTCTGCAAAGTCGTCTGTTGTCTCAACACAATCTAATTAGTCTGCATGTCTCTACTGATCTCTGTATCTGTATCTAACATCTGAGTTTGTGAACAACTACACTACATGATCAAAAGTATGTGGACACCTGCACGTCGATCTCATTCCAAAATCATTGGCATTAATATGGAGTTGGTCCCCCCTTTGCTGCTATAACAGCCTCCACTCTTCTGTGAAGGCTTTCCACTAGATGTTGGAACATTGATGCGGGGACTTGCTTCCATTCAGCCACAAGAGCATTAGTGAGGTCAGGCACTGATGTTGGGTGATTAGGCCTGGCTCGCAGTCAGCGTTCCAATTCATCCAAAAGGTGTTCGATGGGGTTGAGATCAGGGCTCTGTGCAGGCCAGTCAAGTTCTTCCACACCGATCTCGACAAACCATTTCTGTATGGACCTTGCTTTGTGCATGGGGGCTTCCCCAAACATGCTAAAACAGGAAAGGGCCTTCCCAAAACTTTTGCCACAAAGTTGGAAGCACAGAATCGTCTAGAATGTAATTGTATGCTGTAGCGTTAAGATTTCCCTTCACTGGAACTAAGGGGCCTAGCCGAACCATGAAAAACAGCCCCAGACCATTATTCCTCCTCCACCAAACTTTACATTTGGCACTATGCATTCGGGAAGGTAGCGTTCTTCTGGCATCCGCCAAACCCATCCACAAATTTTAAGGGGTGTCCACATACTTGTGTATATATAGTGTCATCTCACTCAGTGGGAGACAACTGCTAATGTCTGCAACTGCAAATCAAATACTGGTTTTCTTACGACCCCATTCTCTTAGAATGTGAGTCGATTGCAAAGCATCTGGCAAAGTTCAAAGGGATTCATGAGTTTCGTTGAGCAGAGATGTGTGAGGAGGCCATGAGAGAGTGATTACCACAGTCATCCTCCTGTCTCCTCTTGTTGTATGTCCTCAATCATTTATCCTCTTTCATTGTCCCAATGCAGTCTGGCTGCTGTACCACAAGGCAGATGTTGAAAGACATGGGGAGGGCATTACACAAGACACGCTACAGCTCTAGCAATCTGACTTAATATATTGCATTTGTGAGAAATGTCCAAAGTGAATAGAGCACTCCAAACTATATGTGACTTAATCATGGTATCCAGAGTACAAGAAACATCTCGTAAATCAAGTTCACAGACACTATGGCCTTTTCTCCTTTGGGCAAAAGTCCGTCCTCCGTCCTCTCTCCTCCATCCTCTCTCTTCCGTGGTCGAGTAGATGGTCCTCCCCTCCTCGATAGCCTCCTTTTGGCGAGGAAGCACAAGTGTATCCTACCTGAGTCCTTCACAGAAGAGTTTTGAAATCTGCCACGCCCCCTTTGAATCAGCTTGGTTTTTTGAAAGAGAAAAGCATGCATACATTTAACAACGATATGCTACTTATCCTTTTATCTAAAACATTTCTTGCACAACTAGCTACATTTGTTTTTATCACTTTATACATTTATTTTGGGATTCCACCCAGTAAACATAATTTGCCTGATGATGCGTGATTGGAGAAGGAGAGTCTCATTTCATACAAGCGCATTTTCGTCCAGTTTCCTCTCCTCTCCTCACCGCCTCTCCTCAATTACCTTTGACCTTTTTCAAAGGGAGGCCAGAAAGGACTGATGTTATAATATTTATACATAAAAAGAAGAAACAAAAGACAGCCCTATTACTCCAGCGATTGACGTTGAGACATGAATGGAAGCAGTGTTTGGAGCAAAAAGTAGCTCAGTTGTTTGCCATTTTGGAGTATTAGATTAAACAGTCCTCCTGTGTGGAATAACTGTTTGTCCAAAATGTCAATGAATCAGTGAGATGGGATCTCAGAGTGAATGTCAGAACACACAGCATCACAAAGAACCAGCCCTGAGGGTCATACGGACCACAGAGTTAAGAGAAACTATAATGCTGCCTGCCCTAAAGGCCATATTTTGTTGAAATACCACAGATACAACAACCAGAAGGCCGAACTAATTTACACTGTTGTAAAATGTGATATACTGGTACAGTGTCCCTCACATAAACATAATTGCTTTTAGTGCAGTCTTAACATCTGTGTTGAATCTGAGCTGTACTGGGATTATTGTAGACATTGATCCCCCATTTCCCTTATTTTCCCTTTTATGTAATCTGGTTTATTCGGAGGTGATGAGTCAGAAAGAGTGACATCGTTGTCTAGAACCAGGAACACTGATTGGATCTCTCTGCTACATTGGGTCCTGTGTTGTACTACTGTATACACACAGAGTGCATATATCTCTCTGAGCACTGACCATAATGATTACAGTCTCTAATGTTAAGTTACACGGGCCACACGGGCCACATGGAAAACCCATCAACCCAAATACTCTTGGACAGCTCTCAATCTCACCTGGCCAAGGCCCAAATTGGAGTAAGTTCGCCTTTAGAATCACCTATCAATTCTCAAGTCCCATAGTAGCAGTTGTAGAGGTTTTCAGGTCTTGAGTTTCCATGGCAACCCTGTTATTATGTATTTTTTGAGCCACTGTAGAGGAGAGGTGCTTCCAACAAGAGAGGAAATAACCTCCACTTCAGTCCCTATGGCCTTTGATGTAGAAACAGCTCTCCTAATAGGATTTTCAAGGTGCTGGTGATTAGGACCTGACTTCAGCCTGACATGGCTCACTCTCTCCACACTGTCCATTTTCACAAATCTCTCTTTGCTTTATATTATGGAAGAGTTTAGGGAGACTTGTGACTCATTGTCATTGTTTTGAATGGCCTCTGCTGTGGTAACAGGGAAAGGAGGATAACACAAACTTTCCACTTTCAGAATGCCTGGACAGTGGGTTATGGAACCCCAGTCAACTCTGCTCAGAACTTAGTTTTGATTTATGGGAGGAAAGGTTGTTTGGCAGATGACTAATGACTCAGAGATTAAATGTTAAATCTTCCACTGAAAAAGATGGCCTCAATCCCACAGAGACCCAGCAAAGGACGTTACACATTAACATATAGCATACAAGACATGCAACGTTTTCTAGAAAGTAATGCTATTTTCATCTGGAATGAGTACACTCATCTTTAGAGAACACATAATTCTGTCTTGAATGCATGCCTGCTCTTCTGCCGGGAAGTGTATCAAAGTTCAGATCTCTGGGAGTGATTCTCAGCATGCATAACGAATTATCCAATAATTGTAGGATGGTGTGAGAAAGTAGAAAAGCTGTTTGTTGCTGGAAATACATTGAGTGTTAAAAACATTCGGAACACGTTCCTAATATTGAGTTGCACTCCCTTTTGCCCTCAGAACAGCCTCAATTCATCAGGGCATGGACTCTACAAGGTGTTGAAAGCATTCCACGGGGATGCTGGCCCATGTTGACTCAAATGCTTCTCACAGTTGTGTCTAGTAGGCTGGATGTCCTTTGGGTGGTGGACCATTCTTGATACACATGGGAAACTGTTGAGTGGGAAAAACCCAGCATCGTTGCAGTTCTTGACACACTCAAACTGGTGCACCTGGTACCTACTACCATACCCTGTTCAAAAGGTATGGGGTGGCAGGTAGCTTAGTGGTGAAGAGCGTTGTGCCAGTAACCGAAAGGTTGCTGGTTCTAATCCCCGAGCCGACTAGGTGAAAAATCTGTCGATGTGCCCTTGAGCAAGGCACTTAACCCTAATTGCTCCTGTAAGTCGCTCTGGATAAGAGTGTCTGCTAAATGACTAAAATGTAAAGGCATTTATTTGTCTTGCCCATTCACCCCCTGAATGGCACACATACACAATCCATGTCTCAATTGTCTCAAGGCTTAAAAATCCTTCTTTAACCTGTCTCCTCCCCTTCATCTACACTGATTGAATTGGATTTAATACAGTTGAAGTCGGAAATTTACATACACTTAGGTTGGAGTCATTAAAACTTGTTTTTCAACCACTCCACACATTTTCTTGTTAACAAACTATAGTTTTGGCAAGTCGGTTAGGACATCTACTTTGTGCATGACACAACTAATTTTTCCAACAATTGTTTACAGACAGATTATTCCATTTATAATTCACTGTATCACAATTCCAGTGGGTCAGAAGTTTACATACACTAAGTTGACTCTGCCTTTAAACAGATTGGAAAATTCCAGAAAAGGATGTCATTGCTTTAGAAGCTTCTGATAGGCTAATTGACATCATTTGAGTCAATTGGAGGTGTACCTGTGGATGTATTTCAATTCCTACCTTCAAACTCAGTGCCTCTTTGCTTGACATCATGGGAAAATCAAAAGAAATCAGCCAAGACCTCAGGAAAAAATTGTAGACCTCTACAAGTCTGGTTCATCCTTGGGAGCAATTTCCAAACGCCTGAAGGTACCACGTTCATCTGTACAAACAATAGTAAGCAAGTATAAACACCATGGGACCACGCAGCCGTCATACCGCTCAGGAAGGAGACGCGTTCTGTCTCCTAGAGATGAACGTATTTTGGTGCGGAAAGTGCAAATCAATCCCAGAACAACAGCAAAGGACCTTGTTAAACGGGTTCAAAAGTATCTATATCCACAGTAAAACAAGTCCTATATCGACATAACCTAAAAGGCCGCTCAGCAAGGAAGAAGCCACTGCTCCAAAACCGCCATAAAAAAGCCAGACTACGGTTTGCAACTGCACATAGAGACAAATATCGTACTTTTTGGAGAAATGTCCTCTGGTCTGATGAAACAAAAATAGAACTGTTTGGCCATAATGACCATCGTTATGTTTGGAGGAAAAAGGGGGTGAGCTTGCAAGCCGAAGAACACCATCACAACCGTGAAGCACGGGGATGGCAGCATCATGCTGTGGGGGTGCTTTGCTGCAGGAGGGACTGGTGCACTTCACAAAATAGATGAGGAAGGAAAATTATGTGGATATATTGAAGCAACATCTCAAGACATCAGTCAGGAAGTTAAAGCTTGGTCGCAAATGGGTCTTCCAAATGGACAATGACGCCAAGCATACTTCCAAAGTTGTGGCAAAATGGCTTAAGGACAACAAAGTCAAGGTATTGGAGTGGCCATCACTAAGCCCTGACCTCAATCCTATAGAACATTTGTGGGCTGAACTGAAAAGGCGTGTGCGAGCAAGGAGGCCTAGAAACCTGACTCAGTTACACCAGCTCTGTCAAGAAGAATGGGCCAAAATTCACCCAACTTATTGTGGGAAGCTTGTGGAAGGCTACCCGAAACGTTTGACCCAAGTTAAGCAATTTAAAGGCAATGCTACCAAATACTAATTGAGTGTATGTAAACTTCTGACCCACTGGGAATGTGATGAAATAAATAAAAGCTGAAATAAATCATTCTCTCTACTATTATTCTGACATTTCACATTCTTAAAATAAAGTGGTGATCCTAACTGATCTAAGACAGGGAATTTGTACTAGGATTAAATGTCAGGAATTGTAAAAACTGAGTTTAAATGTATTTGGCTAAGGTGTATGTAAACTTCAGACTTTTAACTGTTAGTAACATAAGGGATCATAGCTTTCACCTGGATTCACCAGGTTGAATGACTTCTATTAGCATTCTAAGTTACTTTCATTAGTGCAGCTCCTGAGCTCTTTGGTCAGGCCGTTATCGGTCTTCAATACTTTGACGTGACCCAGCTCAGAGGCATAATGCAATTGTCTCTGGATTAACAGGGAATTGACCATAAATCTGTTTGTCTCCTTTGGGGGTGTAAGAGAATATGCTGCCGTGGTGTGATGTGATTGTTCTCTGCATGTGAGTAAGCATGACATCAATTATTGGTCAAGATCTAACCTTTATGTGTGTTTTGTTTATCTCAGGTGGATACTTTGGCATCTGCACAAAGACTTGGACGTCAGAGACCATCCAGGACCATAACAGATGACATGCAGTCTCAGGTACAGGCATTTTGACATGCTTCTTAACTCACAAATAATTCATAATTTAAGACCACAGGAAGAGAGCTAGATCCTTAGTAGAACTGAATTATATGAAAGAATATATTCAGGCAGACCCAAAGTATTGAAGGTTTGCTAGAGATGTTAAAAACAAAAAGATTTTGCTGTGTCAGAGACAATAATTATTATCTTTGAAGTCTGTCTTGGCAGAGTTGGCATGAACAGCACACAGAGGGAGGCCTTTTAAAGATGCTAAACAACAAGGAAAAACACTAACACGTACAAGGTAGAATGAAAAGAACAGCTATTTATGGACAGGCTAGAATTTCCATGAAAATGCCCCAGTCCTGGCTCCACAATGGCATCTCTCTGATTTAACTAGATACAGTTTCACCCTGTGTGAGAGGCACAGGAACTTCCCATGACCCCCAGAGTCCACACAGAGAAAGCTCAAACGCCACCCTTTGCATTCAAACATGCAGGAGTCGGATAGGAGGGGTGGTATTGGGCAGCAAGGAGGGGGGGGGGGGGGGGGGCAGAGAGCAGGGGAGGGCTTTGGAAGCATCGCTAATGCTGGTGCACTTTCACTACGGTCAACATCAGCAACCCCTTTCCGACCCCCTCGGCCTGGGCCACGCCCCCTGGTTGGAGAATACGCAGCACAGCTGAATAGATGGTTAATGGGCTTATAATGTGCCTCTCATATTTCAGCCCCCTGGGTCCTGATGGGCCCTTTCTCCAGCCTCTGCAAGGAAGATGAAGTGGGTGGAAAAGCACTTCCTTCTGCTGCTCTGCTTTAAATACATTTGAGGCCTTTTCACCAGGAGCCCCACTGTTAGGGCCAAGTAGTGTCCAGAGAAAAACAATGTGGTTAACAAGCTCACCTGACCTCCCTCAGAGAGAGAGAGAGAGAGAGAGAGAGAGAGATTGATTCACAGAGGGGTGAAGTGGTACCCATTGATGACATGGCTGTGTTTAGATATAGTGTTCAACTGCCTCTCTCCTGTAGCATCGTGTGGAAGTCCGGGACCATCTGAACGGCTCTTGTATCGTCTTCTCTGACGATGGTCCCTCCTCCAGCCAGCAGCATCACCTGTCCTTTCCAGACCTGACCCAGGAGGTGGTAGTCATCTCCCCGGGGCTCCCCACGCCCCCTCTCAGCCCCTTCCGTTCCACAAGACTGCCACCTGTGGAGCATATTAAGGTAAGCAATACTCTCAAGGAGATACACCTGGTTATTGTAGCACTCCAATGATAACAGCAGTTTGGCTGAGGTTGCTGGTTGGGTTAAGGTTTAGAGACCACATGACATATTCATCAGACAGCTGCTTCTCCCTGTGGAATTGTCTAGTATCACAGGTTCAATGTTATGCCACTGGATTGGAATGTACTGGATATTGATAGAGGTCCTGTCTTTGTGTTGAATAATGCAATACACACTAAGTTGTTGTTCATTTTCCACAGATAATAGTCACAGTCAAACGCTTTCCAACTGATGTTTATATTGGACTGACTGGGTTTCCATCCTAGGTCTCAGAGGTCAATGGGAGTGACCCTCTTACTGACCCCCTTCGTTTTGGATCATACTATGGCCCTGCTCAATCAAATGGTAAGATTAGAATTGTCTTGAAATGATGATAATATAGAGCATCACAGTTTGAGTTTGATTTAAATATGTTTTATGTTTAAAGCTGCAATATGTAACTTTTTGGGCGACCCGACCAAATTCACAAAGAAATGATTTGTTATAGATCTGTCATTCTCATTGAAAGTGTCACGTATACTCCCCCGGCGCTCGAGGTCGCCAGTCTGCTGATTATTACGCTCACCTGTCACCATTGTTACGCGCACCTGCGCCTCATCAGACTCACCTGGACTCCATCACCTTCCTGATTACCTCCTATATATGTCACTCCCTTTGGTTCCTTCCCTAGGCGTTATTGATTCTGTTCCTGTGTTTAGGTCTGTACGCTACTCTTGTTTTGGTTCATGTTTTATTTATTTATTTATTTATTTACCTGTACTTGCTTCCCAACTCCCAGCGTACACGTTACAGAAAGCAAGTCTAAGAAGCAGTAAATCTGTTCTTTGTGCGCTATTTCTATGCTTCCAGTTCTTAAGTTTAGTTTTTGAGTCTTTTACTTTCGGTTTTGTACACCAGCTGAAAATACAATATTTTTGGTACAGCGGTTTAGATGGTACAATGTTTCTCTGCACTATACTTTCTTGTTTTGTCAGATGAACTATTAGAATTTTAGCAACAAGGAAATGGCGGAATGATTTCTGCATAGTGCATCTTAAAGTGATGAATGTGCAACGTTTTATGGGATCTTTGGTGCAAGAGAAGACTGAACACTCTGTAGTACCCTCATGGGAGACATGAATGATGCTGTATGTGATGTAGTCTCTTCACAGTGTTTTGGCCAAGTAGAGCATAGGTTGAATCTTGTGCTAAAAGATTTTGTCATAACTCTGTGTTTCATATGTCAAGGCTTTATGTACCACTGAAGGACACCTCTTGTTTTATAACCAGCTTCAATCAAGCCTTTACAATCATGTTATTATCACCCTAAAATAAATTATACGATGTGGGGTATTAACCACACAAATAATAAAAGTGTTTCATAAATGAAAACAAACTCCAATTCACAGTGGCACTCTGTTGCCACCCAGTGGCACTGATGGTGAAGACAGCTTGAATGTTCATACTGTTACTCAGCTGAAATATACAGTGGGGAAAAAAGTATTTAGTCAGCCACCAATTGTGCAAGTTCTCCCACTTAAAAAGATGAGAGAGGCCTGTAATTTTCATCATAGGTACACGTCAACTATGACAGACAAAATGAGGAAAAAAAATCCAGAAAATCACATTGTAGGATTTTTAATGAATTTATTTGCAAATTATGGTGGAAAATAAGTATTTGGTCAATAACAAAAGTTTCTCAATACTTTGTTATATACCCTTTGTTGGCAATGACACAGGTCAAACGTTTTCTGTAAGTCTTCACAAGGTTTTCACACACTGTTGCTGGTATTCTGGCCCATTCCTCCATGCAGATCTCCTTTAGAGCAGTGATGTTTTGGGGCTGTCGCTGGGCAACACAGACTTTCAACTCCCTCCAAAGATTTTCTATGGGGTTGAGATCTGGAGACTGGCTAGGACCTTGAATACCAGCAACAACCTTGAAATGCTTCTTACGAAGCCACTCCTTCGTTGCCCGGGCGGTGTGGTTGGGATCATTGTCATGCTGAAAGACCCAGCCACGTTTCATCTTCAATGCCCTTGCTGATGGAAGGAGGTTTTCACTCAAAATCTCACGATACATGGCCCCATTCATTCTTTCCTTTACACGGATCAGTCGTCCTGGTCCCTTTGCAGAAAAACAGCCCCAAAGCATGATGTTTCCACCCCCATGCTTCACAGTATGTATGGTGTTCTTTGGATGCAACTCAGCATTCTTTGTCCTCCAAACACGACGAGTTCAGTTTTTACCAAAAAGTTATATTTTGGTTTCATCTGACCATATGACATTCTCCCAATCCTCTTCTGGATCATCCAAATGCACTCTAGCAAACTTCAGACGGGCCTGGACATGTACTGGCTTAAGCAGGGGGACACGTCTGGCACTGCAGGATTTGAGTCCCTGGCGGCGTAGTGTGTTACTGATGGTAGGCTTTGTTACTTTGGTCCCAGCTCTCTGCAGGTCATTCACTAGGTCCCCCCGTGTGGTTCTGGGATTTTTGCTCACCGTTCTTGTGATCATTTTGACCCCACGGGGTGAGATCTTGCGTGGAGCCCCAGATCGAGGGAGATTATCAGTGGTCTTGTATGTCTTCCATTTCCTAATAATTGCTCCCACAGTTGATTTCTTCAAACCAAGCTGCTTACCTATTGCAGATTCAGTCTTCCCAGCCTGGTGCAGGTCTACAATTTTGTTTCTGGTGTCCTTTGACAGCTCTTTGGTCTTGGCCATAGTGGAGTTGTAGTGTGATTATTTGAGGTTGTGGACAGGTGTCTTTTATACTGATAACAAGTTCAAACAGGTGCCATTAATACAGGTAACGAGTGGAGGACAGAGGAGCCTCTTAAAGAAGAAGTTACAGGTCTGTGAGGGCCAGAAATCTTGCTTGTTTGTAGGTGACCAAATACTTTTTTTCCACCATAATTTGCAAATAAATTCATAAAAAATCCTACAATGTGATTTTCTGGATTTTTTTTCCTCAATTTGTCTGTCATAGTTGACGTGTACCTATGATGAAAATTACAGGCCTCTCTCATCTTTTTAAGTGGGAGAACTTGCACAATTGGTGGCTGACTAAATACTTTTTTCCCCCATTGTAATAGAAGAATGAGGACAGTTTGAACTGCCTTTGATAACAGACCTGTCCTCTCTCTCTGTGACAGGGGGTCTGTCTAATGGAGTCCAGACCAGGGGCTCTTCCACTCTACCGCGGAGGGCTGCTACGAGGGAGGCGCGCCTTATCAAGTTCTCTGGGATCGGCCCAGTGGATGAGACAGGGATGCCCATCGCCTCCAGATCAGTAAGATAAACATAGCGTACAGCAGCATTCGTCAGTGGAGCTCACGAGTCACTACACACATATGGCCCTAGGGCCCAGAGTTTTTCCTAATTTGGTCACTCACACAGGAACAACTCCTTGGTCTGCTCCTTGTTGTCATTTACATGGAGCCAAAATGTTCTCATTTATGTACTCTGAAACTTCTGAGTCTACAAACTTCTATAAATCAGTTTTTGTCATGTTCCCTTCTTTTCTCACACCAGAGTGTGAACCAGCCTAAAGACTGGTACAGGAGCATGTTCAGACAGATCCACAAGAAGCCAGAAGGTATGACCCCTCCTCCCTCTCCCCTTCTCTCTCACACACCAGCCCACACAGACAATTCCTTTCTAACAATGTCAGCTTCCAAAGAGCTGATCCAGAGGGCAGATTATTCCAAGGAGAGGAGAGAAAGCTCAAGCCTTTGTGATATCTATACCCAGTCATTCCAACTTCTCCACATATCTACCTCCATCCTACATCTATTCCTTCATACCGGTCCTTATCTCCAGTTGTATACCAGTAGTCTATTCCTGGTTATGTGTATGCATGGTGGTAGTAACAGGCAGCACTCAGGTCCTCAGGGTGAGATGACAGGAATGTCCAGGATGGATCTGTGGCTTACTATGATTACTGTTATCTAAATCCCTGTCTCTCTTTGCTGTCTTTGCCCATTTGATAGAAACTTACGAGTACTCTGAGCGATGGTCTGCTGAAAGTGAGTGAAGTGGAAATATCAGGTTTCATTTTTCTGGACTGTAACAGATCTACTCTGTATAGATGACCAGTCTTTCATAACACTAATTTCTACTGATCCTCAGGGAGTCGGGCCCTCACTGCTGACTCAGCCAATGGGCAGGAGACACTGACCCATATGGACAATTATGGAGCTCTCCCTGACTGGTGAGACTGAGAGAGACTGATGACGAGGACTAGAAGAGTGCATGTTCAACCCCCTTATTTAAAACAACAGTAAAATTCCTGTTGAGAATTTTAGGATGTGTTTGTTTCTACTACTGTATAACCATGACTAAGTTCACAGCACATCAGAGGCATATGGTCAGTCATTGTGAAACACGAGGTACGTGCAACTTTTGCCAACCTGGTAATTGGGTGAATGGCTATATGTGTGAATTCCAACCCAGACCGAAGGCAAGGAGTGGGGGGAGAGACAAAAACAAGTGCCGGATAGACAAGTTTGGATCTGTTCCTACAGACACTGACAATGAAACCATGATTAAGTTGTGTGTTTGTGTCCGCGTGTGTGTTGGGGATTGTGTTTCAGGAGTGAGCTGGGGGTTGAAGATAAGCTTTCAGACCGATGGGGGCACCCTCCACAGCCCAGGAGCATATTTGACTTTGAGCCTGGACAGAGCACCACCTCAGAGGTCCAGAGCCAGGTAAAGCCTCACACTCTGTTTAATTTAACACGGAGCATTACTACACAATGGAATTTAGATGGCACCTGGACATTTGTGTTTGTATTGAAAGGTTGCACTGTTGCACATATTTTCTTGGAGTTAGATTCAAAATTCCTGATTGTAAAACAACTTGTTTCTCATTGAAGTTTTCAAAAGATTTGTGGCTTACCCTCAGAACTATTGTTGTGAGTTTTCCTATGTGCTGTATTCACTAGTGTTGGGGTGGGCTGCCCTCAAGAGCTGCTTGTGGCGGCGTTCACCAAATCTTTTTCCTATTAGGATTAGTGTCAACATCCTGGAATGCTTCTCAGTTGAGAGCACAATGGAAATAATTAATTTTTAATGTATGTAATGCTGTCTCCAGCCGGAGCAGCCTACAACTTTTAATGATCCAATCAAGCATCTCACGGCAGGTAATCAGGAACTTGTTAATGCGGTCATTGGTACAATGGCACACCCACACCAGGTGTGTTCCGGTTTCCTTCTTAATTTCGAGGTCTTTCCTCAAACATTTTTTGGAACAAGCAAAATAACATGAAGAAAGTGTTTATTTACCATGAACTGCCGTGAACTACCAGGTGGTCAACAGTGTTAGTATTGCTGTTTGTGATGCATGTGTTCCCTGGGTAACTTATTCTTCCCTTACTAAAATAAGTAAGGTAACTCTTTTAACTGCCCATACGTGTGTGTGTGTGGTGTGTGTATATGTGGACCTGTGAGTACTGAATGTCTGTTAAAATACCTTGAGTGATTTAGAGTGGACTGTGTTTGTCTGGGCTGAAGCTTTGAATGGCTCTTGTCACCACGTCCCAGATCTGGTACAAATTGAGCCTGGCGTCTCAAAGTGGGAAGAAAATAAATCTTTGTTTCCCATCTGCCAAAGTAGAGTCCCCCACGGGGCCCAGGCGTCTTGTGATACTGATTGTGCCTGTTAACCTCTTGTGGTGTGTAATGCTTCACAGCGTGGAGGCTTATTTCATTTCCTCAGGAGGTCATAGCCTGGATTTCTCTAGATTAGGTAGAAGTTAACTCACTGATACAGGGTCAGATATCTTTTACAGAGTGGCTCTGCGGATCCGACTTTTCTGGATCCATGTTTTTTTTGTTTTTTTCGGGGCTTAAAGGTCCTGAAGCTTCTGCGCATGTGCAGAATTCTCTACTTTGCGCACAGTCACTGCTCTACTCATAGTAGAGAAAGGTGCTCCTTTTTCTTTCATGCGGCCACAACTCAACAGTGCGGGCCAAAAAAGATGTGCTTAGATTGAAACAAAACACAGGTATGCTACAGTTGGTGTTAACAATCTGCTCTAAAATTCGCCCACTGTACATAATTCGAAAAAACACTGTACATAACTAAAAAGATCTAAATGCATATTCACATGTAACTGATTGAGATCAAATTGTTGTCATGCAGATGTTGCATGGACGTGCATGGATGTTTCACCGGTAAAACTTGAAGAATTATCATTCACGATTGACAGTGAAAATGTGAAAGGAGGGTGACCACAAAAATGTGTCCATAAAGTAGAGGTAAAGAAACACATGAGCAGAACGTGATACGGATCTTTCCAGGGGATCCAGGGGGGTGGGAAAGGCGGAACATGGCGCTTACCTATGGATCCGCAGCCACAGCCTATTTTTTATCCCCCTAATGGTTAAGATTGGAGGTAGTGTAATCTGATCCTAGATCTGTGGTTAGGTACAGACTACTCTCCAGCCTGTGTACAGATAATCACACAATCAGAGAACACAGACCTACACTCCTAAGTGACATCATGGCCTGTGATTCTGGTGATGACTACTGGCTGAGAGAATACTTTGTCTTTAACTGGATCTCACTCTGCCAAGGCATTTCAAGGAACATGAAAAAGGGTTAGGAAGTTGATGTCACGATCGTTATTAGATGAGACGGACCAAGGCGCAGCGTGATAAGCGTACATCTTTAATTAGTACTTAACACACGAACAAAACCAAAACAACAAACCAACGATACATGAAGTCCTGAGGTTACACACACCAAACCTTTACGGATCAAGATCCCACAAACTAACTGGTGCCAACAGGCTGCCTAAGTATGGTCCCCAATCAGAGACAACGAGCTACAGCTGCCTCTGATTGGGAACCACCCTGGCCAACATAGATCTAAACGATCTAGAACAAAAACATAGAAAACTAAACATAGAAAAATCCACACCCTGGCTCAACATTTAAGAGTCCCCAGAGCCAGGGCGTGACAGTACCCCCCCCCCCCCAAGGCGTGGACTGCGACCGCGCCACACAAACACAAGAGGGTAGGGGCCGGGTGGGCATTCGGCCTCGGAGGCTGATCCGGCTCCGGGCGTGACCACCACCTTTTCTCCACCTCCCCGTTGCGCCCCTGGTCTGGTCCCGCTGACGGGAGCTGGACCCGACCACGGTGGACCAAACCTTACCGGCTCTGGACTGGAGCCGCTGGCCGGAGCTGGACTGGACACCGGTGGAGCGGATTGCTCTGGCTCCGGAGTGGATCCGCTGACTGGAGTTGGACCGGACCCCGGTGGAGCGGATTGCTCTGACTCCAGAGTGGAGCAGCTGACCGGTGCCGGACCAGGCACCGGTGGAACAGGCACGGGCCGTGTCGGACTGGACACACGCACCACTGGCTTGGCGCGGGGAGCAGGAACGAGCCGGACCGGGCTGACGACGCGCACCACTGGCTAGGTGCGGGGAGCAGGAACGGGCCGGACCGGGCTGACGACGCGCACCACAGGCTTGGTGCGGGGAGCAGGAACAGGCCGGACCGGGCTGGCGACGCGCACCACTGGCTTGGTGCGGGGAGCAGGAACAGGCCGGACCGGGCTGGCGACGCGCACCACTGGCTTGGTGCGGGGAGCAGGAACAGGCCGGACCGGGCTGGTGACGCGCACCACTGGCTTGGTGCGAGGGACAGGAACAGACCGGACCGGGCTGGCGACGCGCACCACTGGCTTGGTGCGAGGGACAGGAACAGGCTGAACCGGGCTGGCGACGCGCACCACTGGCTTGGTGCGAGGGACAGGAACAGGCCGGACCGGGCTGGCGACGCGCACCACTGGCTTGGTGCGAGGGACAGGAACAGGCCGGACCGGGCTGGCGACGCGCACCACTGGCTTGGTGCGAGGGACAGGAACAGGCCGGGCTGGACTGGGAACACGCACCACTGGCTTGGTGCGGGGAGCAGGAACAGGCCGGGCTGGACTGGGAACACGCACCACTGGCTTGGTGCGGGGAGCAGGAACAGGCCGGGCTGGACTGGGAACACGCACCACTGGCTTGGTGCGGGGAGCCGGAACGGGCCGGGCCGGACTGTGGAGGCGGACTGGAGGTCTGGAGCGGAGAGCTGACACAACCCGTCCTGGCTGAATGCCTATTTCCACACAATATGTGTGAGGCATCAGCACAGGACGTAGAGGGCTGTGCACTCGTACTGGCGCTACAGCACGTGGCACTGGCGCAGGATATACGGGACCGAGGAGGCATACTGGAGGCCACGAGCGTTGAGCCGGCACACCCCGTCCTGGCTGCATGCCCATCTTAGCACGACACGTGCGTGGTGCTAGCACCGGACGTACAGGACTGTGCCGGAACACTCGCGGCACAGTACGTGCCTCCGTATAACACGGAGCCTGCCCAGTCTCACGCTTCCTAGCCTGAGTACGGGGAGTTGGCTCTGCTCTAACTCTAGGCTCTGCCAACCACCCTTTTAGCCCCCCAAAAAAATTTTCTTGGGGCTGTCTCTCGGGCTTCCTCCTCGGCCGGTACCCTCTGCGATGCTGCTGCTCCTCTCTGTAGCGCGCCTCCACAGTCTCCTCCCAAGGACGGCGATCCATTCCGGCCTGAATCTCTTCCCAAGTCCAGGATCTCTTCCCGTCCAGGATCTCCTCTCAAGTCCAGGCTGTCTGTTCCTGGACACGCTGCTTGGTCCTTTTTTGGTGGGATCTTCTGTCACGATCGTCGACAGATGAAGCGGACCAAGGCGCAGCGTGATAAGCGTACATTCTTTATTTAATAAACATACTTAACACACGAACAAAAACAATAAACCAAACGATACGTGAAGTCCTAGGTTATACACAAAACCTTACGGAACAAGATCCCACAAATGACTAGTGAAAACAGGCTGCCTAAGTATGGTCCCCAATCAGAGACAACGAGCTACAGCTGCCTCTGATTGGGAACCACCCTGGCCAACATAGAAATAAACGATCTAGAACAAAAACCACAGAAAACTAAACATAGAAAATCCACACCCTGGCTCAACATCTAAGAGACCCCAGAGCCAGGGCGTGACAGTTGAAGGTTTCTTAAGAGTTTTTACCCTTTTAAAGTAGTGTAGCTTGATGCAATTATTTCTGGCGTCAGTAACTGGGACATACAGTATGTCTTCTTAATGAGGGAATGAGTTCTGTTTCGTCTGGCTGTTACATTGTTGTTGTGGATGTAGAGTAAACGAAGTGGACCAGTTGGATCAAATGGGAGGGCTATAAGTAACCTATAAGGATGTAACCGCTACAGTTGTTTACTGTTCTATACGTCTACTATAACCAACTGTTACATATCTTTATGTTTTGTGTTTCCCAGCCTCAGGGTCAGCCGGAGCAGAAGCCCCAGCAGCCTCCCTTACAGCCGGCCCAACAGCCACCCCAGCACAGACCCACAGAAAAACCCTGGTCCCCCATAGAGAAGCCGTCTAAGCCATCCGCCTTCGAGGTGAGTGCTCACAGTGATATGATAGCTGTCATAACCTTGACCATGATGGCCAAGTGCAGTGATTGTTTTAATGAGCTAGCAAAGAATAAGGAAAACTTAGCATGGACAGATTGAATCGTACCAAGAGTATGCAATTATGGAGCCAACAATAACTTAGAGAATTACTGTATTCAGTGGCACACTACATGACTAAAAGTATGTGGACACCTGCTCATCGAACATCTCCTTCCAAAATCATGGGCATTAACATGGAGTTGGTCCCCCCTTTGCTGCCATAACAGCCTCCACCCTTCTGGGAAGGCTTTCCACTAGATGTTGGAACATTTCTGCGGGGACTTGCTTCCATTCAGCCACAAGAGCGTTAGTGAGGTCGGGCACTGATGTTGGGCAATTAGGCCTGCGGTCCGTATTGACCCTGTTCTGGGTCCGGATCTGGTCCACGGTCCGCCAGTTTTGTATGGAGGCTCTAGCGTTAAGATTTCCCTTCACTGGAACTAAGGGGCCTAGCCCAAACCATGAAAAACAGCCCCAGACCATTATTCCTCCTTCACCAAACTTTACAGTTGGCACTATACATTGGGACAAGTAGCGTTCTCCTTTCATCCCCCAAACCCATATTCGTCCGTCGGACTGCCAGATGGTGAAGTGTGATTAATCCCTCCAGAGAATGCGTTTCCACTGCTCCAGCATCCAATGGTGGTGAGCCTTACACCACTCCAGCCGACGCTTGCCGTTGCGCATGGTGATCTTAGGCTTGTGTGCGGCTGCTCGGCCATTGAAACCCATTTCATGAAGCTCCCGACGAACAGTTCTTGTGCTGACGTTGCTTCCAGAGACAGTTTGGAACTCGGTAGTGAGTGTTGCAACAGACTATTTTTTTGCGCTACGCACTTCAGCAGTCGGCGGTCACGTTCTGTGAGCTTGTGTGGCCTACCATTTCGCGGCTGAGCCTTTGTTGCTCCTAGACGTTTCCACTTCACAGTAATGACACTTACAGTTGACCGGGGCAGCGCTAGCAGGGCAGAAATTTGACAAACTGACTTGTTGGAAAGGTGGCATCCTATGATGGTGCCACGTTGAAAGTCACTGAGCTCTTCAGTTAGGCCATTCTACTGCCGACGTTTTGTTATGGAGATTGCATGGCTGTGTGCTTGATTCCATACACCTGTCAGCAACGCGTGTGGCTAAAATAGCCGAATCCACAAATTTGAAGGGGTGTCCACATACTTTTGTATATATAGTGTTTAATTTGACTGATTAATTCCTTCCATCCACCATGCTGCATTGGCCAGGAGTCTCTGCTCTCTGAGCTGAGCTGTTTTGAGGCTGAGCTGGACTCGGACATCCAGGGCCTGGAGAGGAGGCTTTCCCAGAAGAAACAGACTCGGCGAGGCTGGGGTGAGGTACTGAGGCCCATCTTGTGACTCTGCTGAAGCAACACTCCTCCCTGCTACCCTGCCTGTAACCCCCTCCTCTCTCTCACACTCCTCTAGCAATGAGGTCTGGTTACTTGCATGTATAAGTCAATATCATAAATCCCTGTTATCATAAGCAGGGCTTATCCAAAGACAGCGTCATAACTTTTCTGTGTTACAATACAGGAATAAGACTTCTCCAATCATATACCAGAACCGTCACCTAGTTTCAATAGACTAGTCTATATCTGTTATTGTTGATGACAGTCCCTTCCAGCTATGGAGCATCTCCCCTCCTGTGAGGACTGTTTGAGACAGACAGCCCTGCATGCCAACCCTGACACTGCCCTGTGACCCTGCTCACACCCCCAGGACATGCCTGCCGGCCTTGCACTTGAATGTGTCTGCCTCAAATCACATGCCTCCAAACCCCCCACAAATCTAAATCTGCTTGCAAATCCAACAAGCATTTGTTAGATTTTTCCCACTCGCTTTCAGAAGAAATGGAGGTTCAGTTCAATGAAGAACTTAACTGTTTGCCGCACTACTTGTATGCCTTGTATGTGTTTGCTGAATTCAAAGATTTGATTTCACTCTTCAAATGTTGATGCTGATTCTCTTCACAACCTTAATTTGCACCTCATCTAATCATCAGCTGTATGTGGTTGTTACTCCTCAATCAAAGATACCACAGATAAAAATACCGTTATCAATCTTATCATTGTATTCAAAGGAGTGTAGGACCCAGGGGAATTCTCTCTTCCTCTGGCTCCTTTGGGAGTGGTCACCGCCTTTGCTCTGTCTAAGTATCTGTGAGATTTCCTCCAAGAGAGAACAGCCTTCAATGTGATCTCTGCTTCCAGGGCGCCAGGAATGCTGATCCAGGAACTGCTGCAGGGACAGGGACAACACGGGACAACAGGTGAGTTATGAGTCGGGGTCGGCACAAAGCTGTGGCTCTGTGTGTTGGTGTGATTGTACATACAATGTTTTTTTAAATCCCAAACAGTAAAACTATGTCTCAAGTTGTACAGGGTAGGTCATTGGTTGTAGCTGTATCACTTTCCTGATGTTGTGAAATATGTACAGGGATTATTGTCGATTCAGGAAACAGTTATTATACTGTTCATTGTTGCATACTGCTACTATAGTTATTGATATGTGTCCTCAAAACCATGTCATTCACACTCCATTATTTGATTTGCTCATAACAGAGGGGATATTTACTCCGCAAATATTTTAGCCTCTCCAATCATTGAGGCCATTCTTGTGCTTTTTTTAAATCCATAAATATCTGCCAGTTGGTCTCTGACATTAATTGTGCTTTGTTTTCAGACCATAAAAGTATTTTACAACTTTATTGTCCCACAAAGGCAACACATTTCTGACACCTCATACCACTTGGCTATGAGTAACAAATCCACCTGTTGTTTCTATAAAATACACGTCAATGGCATTGAGACTTTTACTTGGTCATTACAGTTGAATGACTGATGCGTTTTCAATGACTAAGCATCTACAAGTCTGTTTACAACCATTTGGATTGCTGTTGTCTTGGTACTAATGGGTGAAACCCACTCGGCACACACTGGTTGAATCAATGTTGTTTCCACATCATTTCAATTACATTTCGCTGAACCCACGTGGAATTGAAGTCTGTGCCCAGTGGGGACCCTCTTCCTTTGGCTTGTATCTGTGTCTGTGCACTGGCAGATTTGTAATTGAAGAGTCTATAGACCATGGCTTGATAACCAGTGCAGACAGATGAAGCAAGTCTTGAAAACTAAATTCAAATTATTGCAGTCAATGCCTTTTTGCAGGCATGTGAAATAACCATCCTACAGTAATTAGGAACAAAACAGTTTCTAAAAGATAATCCAATTCAGAATCTTGTGACTTTCTAAAGATATCCTTCAGAATGATTCCAGATTGCACTGTCAATGTACAGCATGGAGCCAGTGTGAGCTGCAGAGGGAGGTAACACCAGGACAGGTTAATGGTTGAACCCCTGGCCTAACTCCCATGTTCTTAATCTTGTCCATCTCACTACTGTTGCCATAAATTAGTCTTTACAGTCATTGGTTCCCTATTAGTTAAGACATGAAAAAACTTGGCAAAGTAACTGTACTCTTGCTGCCTAGACACTTATAGAATACTTAAGTTGAGCTACAGTGGGGAAAAAAAGTATTTAGTCAGCCACCAATTGTGCAAGTTCTCCCACTTAAAAAGATGAGAGAGGCCTGTAATTTTCATCATAGGTACACGTCAACTATGACAGACAAAATGAGGAAAAAAATTCCAGAAAATCACATTGTAGGATTTTTTATGAATTTATTTGCAAATTATGGTGGAAAATAAGTATTTGGTCAATAACAAAAGTTTCTCAATACTTTGTTATATACCCTTTGTTGGCAATGACACAGGTCAAACGTTTTCTGTAAGTCTTCACAAGGTTTTCACACACTGTTGCTGGTATTTTGGCCCATTCCTCCATGCAGATCTCCTCTAGAGCAGTGATGTTTTGGGGCTGTCGCTGGGCAACACGGACTTTCAACTCCCTCCAAAGATTTTCTATGGGGTTGAGATCTGGAGACTGGCTAGGCCACTCCAGGACCTTGAAATGCTTCTTACGAAGCCACTCCTTCATTGCCCGGGAGGTGTGTTTGGGATCATTGTCATGCTGAAAGACCCAGCCACGTTTCATCTTCAATGCCCTTGCTGATGGAAGGAGGTTTTCCACTCAAAATCTCACGATACATGGCCCCATTCATTCTTTCCTTTACACGGATCAGTCGTCCTGGTCCCTTTGCAGAAAAACAGCCCCAAAGCATGATGTTTCCACCCCCATGCTTCACAGTAGGTATGGTGTTCTTTGGATGCAACTCAGCATTCTTTGTCCTCCAAACACGACGAGTTGAGTTTTTACCAAAAAGTTCTATTTTGGTTTCATCTGACCATATGACATTCTCCCAATCCTCTTCTGGATCATCCAAATGCACTCTAGCAAACTTCAGACGGGCCTGGACATGTACTGGCTTAAGCAGGGGGACACATCTGGCACTGCAGGATTTGAGTCCCTGGCGGCGTAGTGTGTTACTGATGGTAGGCTTTGTTACTTTGGTCCCAGCTCTCTGCAGGTCATTCACTAGGTCCCCCCGTGTGGTTCTGGGAATTTTGCTCACCGTTCTTGTGATCATTTTGACCCCACGGGGTGAGATCTTGCGTGGAGCCCCAGATCGAGGGAGATTATCAGTGGTCTTGTATGTCTTCCATTTCCTAATAATTGCTCCCACAGTTGATTTCTTCAAACCAAGCTGCTTACCTATTGCAGATTCAGTCTTCCCAGCCTGGTGCAGGTCTACAATTTTGTTTCTGGTGTCCTTTGACAGCTCTTTGGTCTTGGCCATAGTGGAGTTTGGAGTGTGACTGTTTGACGTTGTGGACAGGTGTCTTTTTATACTGATAACAAGTTCAAACAGGTGCCATTAATACAGGTAACGAGTGGAGGACAGAGGAGCCTCTTAAAGAAGAAGTTACAGGTATGTGAGAGCCAGAAATCTTGCTTGTTTGTAGGTGACCAAATACTTATTTTCCACCATAATTTGCAAATAAATTCATAAAAAATCCTACAATGTGATTTTCTGGAATTTTTTTCCTCATTTTGTCTGTCATAGTTGACGTGTACCTATGATGAAAATTACAGGCCTCTCTCATCTTTTTAAGTGGGAGAACTTGCACAATTGGTGGCTGACTAAATACTTTTTTTCCCCACTGTATATACCTTTAACAAGTTGAAGTCCAATATTTGTCAGTTCAAGAGGGCACCTTATCTAGTGTAATACATTCTTAGACAGTTTTTCTCCTAGTTGTTGTTTGCTAAACTGAGCTTATATGTTTTGGCCCAGCGACCCCCTTCCTATCTCGAGGCCTCAGGGGCCAGTTACCACGCCGGTTGCTAAGGAGATGTAAAATGGAAACATACAACAGTAAGAATATGGCAGGTTTTTACTGCTTCCTGTTGTCCTGGCCTCCTGCTTGGCTGCAGCCAGCTGCCAGACTCTGACCGGATCAACAGACAGGTGTGATGCCTCTCTGTCACTGTGTTTATCTGGTTCAGACAGTGGACAACTGTTTACTGATCTAATGCACTTTCTCTGATACATGTTTGTTTAATAATAACAGTTATTTGCTCATGCTGCTATGGTTTTTAACTTCAACTTTATTGGAAGACCCTGGATGATGTTTCCCTGTCATTTCAACATGGTAATAATGTCAGTGATTATGATGATGACTATAAGTTCCCCAGAGTCTCCTCTCTCATGCTTGAGTCATCTGATTCTGCATCTGTTTCATCTTTATTTGCTCTTTACATGCAAACCAGCAGCTGTGGCCAGAGGCCAAGTCAGCATGACAAATGTGTCTACTTCAGCACACAGCACTCTGTCCTCTCATATAGTGTGGAGCTCCACCATGTGGGCTGTTAATATTTGGAAAGATCTCATTGACAGGAGTTTGTGGGAGCATACAGACATAAAGTAAACATGCTATCTTTTTCTGTGATTTTTTTTCCAGCTCCTTGACTGATGCAAAGCAACCTCTCCATCGTCCCATTGTCCCCACATCAGCTGTTGCTCAGAGGGAAGCCCTCAGTCCCACACATGGTAAGGTTAGGAGTTGATCCTGGATCCAAACCTTACAAGAAAACCTTCAATCAGAAAGAGTGGTGCTATGGATAGGCCACTCAACATGCAGTCTCAGTAAAATGGCTCAGTAAAGACTAGTAACAGTAGGTTGGACATAATAGTACTATGTACTTGAATGCTGTAATAGGACTTGCTTAATTTAAAAGTGGGTAATGTACATAATGTAATGTATATACTGTAGTGTACTGTATATAATCTAATCAGTGAAAAGTCCATGGAAAAACAGCCTCTACTAATGGAATACAGTAATTCAATATGGGACTATTGTTGAAGTCTTGTGATTCCTTGTGATTTCCTGTAGTCTTGTTTCCTGATCTGTTTGATATGAAACTGATCTGGGTTAGTGAGAGGAGAGGTTTCTTACTTTTAGTATGGAAAGATCTGTAGTATTAGGGTGGGAAGGAAGCACAAAAAAATAGGAACTGCGGGCCGGAAGTCTTGATTATAGATTAGCTTTACCAAACTGTTTTTCTTGGAGATTAGTCCAAGAGCCGGCCCAAAAGTTTGGCTTCTTTAATAACCTTTTACTTCAGTGGGCTAAATCAGGGTCACACAGAGTGTTTCTTGGTAGTCTTAAACAAATCTACTTTAAACAAAAGTATAGACCTCACACACATGGTTATGGGCTTACAAAAAATAAGACACCTGTACCATGTCAGATATAGAGTTGAAATGTATTCAATTTTGAGTTTACATCCAAATATTTATATACAGAAATAACAAAATTGTTTGACATAGAAACACTGGATTTGTTATTTGTTATTATGAAATTATGACAAATATTAATAACATTCCACCCTTGAGGCCACTAGGTCATTTGACTACAGGAAAGGGCTACAATAACATACATTCAATTGGAGAGGATTTGTTCAATGTTTACATATCTTCCCATTGACTTGATATAATTACACTCTGAAAGAAACAAAAGCTGGATTGGGAGGCTTTACAAAATATCCTGATGAACATTGTGATTCTGCTACAAGTCATGTAAAAGGACCCATGAGCACCAACATGTGAAGTTCATTTGAGCATGTCAAATGAAAGCTAATAATCTATATTTTAGAGAAATTAAGGCAATTATACATAGATGTCCATGATTGGTTCAGATTTGGTCCAGACCAGACCAAATCTGAACCAATCATAGACGTCTGTGTTTCACAAGTTTGGACAGCACAGCACAGCACAGTAAAGAAAAGTAGAGTATAGTCCTGTACTGTAATGTACTGTAATGTAATGTAGAATATAATGAAGTAGAGTTCAGTACAGTACACAGTAGAGCAAACTAGAGTTGAGGACACTATAATGTACTGTACTGAACTATACTCTACTTTACTGTACTGAACTGTACTCTACTGTATTGAACTCTACACTACTCTACTGTTCCGTGCGGTAGTTTTTGGAAAACGTGGTCATATAAAAAACTGAGGGAGATTTACCGAAATTCTGTTACCAAACTTTGCATCTACACAGTTCTTCCAGTAAATGTGTTTTTGGAAAATGTTCAGTGTAAATGGTTAAAAGTAGTCCTTGTGCATAGAGTTATTTGGTTTGTTAAACTTTTAAATAAATGATTTTTGGCATACATTTAAAGTAAAAAATCTGAGTCTCAGTGCAATTCTGTTACCGTGGAATGCCCTACACCCTTTTGACCCATCTGTCTTGTTTCCTCACTAATCCCTATGTTTCTCTCCACCTCCTCATGCTGTTCTACAGTAGAACGCCTCTCCCCTGCACCTGAAGCCATGGAGTTCCCACCCAAGAGACAAGAGAAGCAGGTAAATATATTTCTCTTTCTTGGTGTGGGATATCCAACTACTATAGGTACCTGTGTATATTGTACACAATGTCAGAAAATTGTGAAAATTGATCTATTATATTTGAGGAGTAGGCTTTAGTGCTTTAGCTTTTGTGCTCTGAAAGGAATCTGTATGTATTAACATACTTTTGGCCATGCAGTGTATGTGGACACCTGCTCGTTAAACATCTCATTCCAAAATCATGGGCATTAAATACCCCCTTTGCTGCTATAACAGCCTTCACTCTTCTGGGAAGGCTTTCTACTAGATATTGGAACATTGCAGCGGGGACTTGCTTCCATTCAGCGACAAGAGCATTAGTGAGGTCGGGCACTGATTTTGGGCGATTAGGCCTGGCTCGCAGTCAGCGTTCCAATTCATCCCAAAGGTGTTCGATGGGGTTGAGGTCAGGGCTCTGTGCAGGCCAGTCAAGTTCTTCCACAACGATCTTGACAAACCATTTCTGTATGGACCTTGCTTTGAGCACGGGGGCATTGTCATGCTGAAACAGGAAAGGGCCTTCCCCAAACTGTTGCCACAAAGTTGGAAGCACAGAATCGTTTAGAATGTCATTGTATGCTGTAGTGTTAAGATTTTCCTTCCTTCCTTACTTAGGGGCCTAGCCCGTATCATGAAAAACAGCCTCAGACCATTATTCCTCCTCCACCAAACTTTACAGTTGGCACTATGCATTATTTTTATTTTTTTAACCTTTATTTAACCAGGTAAGCCAGTTGAGAACAAGTTCTCATTTACAACTGCGACCTGGCCAAGATAAAGCAAAGCAGTGCGATAAAAACAACAACAACACAGAGTTACATATGGCATAAACAAAATGTACAGTCAATAACACAATAGAAATTGTATATACAGTGTGTGCAAATGTAGTAAGCTATGGAGGTAAGGTAGTAAATAGGCCATAGTGCAAAATAGTTGCAATTTAGTATTTTAGTTTTCTTCTTTTTTTTTTTTTTTTTTGGGTGGTGGGGTAGATCAGCTTAATATTGCAGATAGATTGTAACTTCCATCAATGTAATTGTCTGCATCACTTCCAATCCCCCATGTTTTTTTTATTTATATATATATATATATATATATATATATATATATATATATATATATATATATAATATATATATATATATATATATATATATATATATATATATATATATATATATATATATATGTACAGTGGGGAAAAAAAGTATTTAGTCAGCCACCAATTGTGCATGTTCTCCCACTTAAAAAAATGAGAGAGGCCTGTAATTTTCATCATAGGTACACGTCAACTATGACAGACAAATTGAGAAATGTTTTTCCAGAAAATCACATTGTAGGATTTTTAATGAATTTATTTGCAAATTATGGTGGAAAATAAGTATTTGGTCACCTACAAACAAGCAAGATTTCTGGCTCTCACAGACCTGTAACTTCTTCTTTAAGAGGCTCCTCTGTCCTCCACTCGTTACCTGTATTAATGGCACCTGTTTGAACTTGTTATCAGTATAAAAGACACCTGTCCACAACCTCAAACAGTCACACTCCAAACTCCACTATGGCCAAGACCAAGAGCTGTCAAAGGACACCAGAAACAAAATTGTAGACCTGCACCAGGCTGGGAAGACTGAATCTGCAATAGGTAAGCAGCTTGGTTTGAAGAAATCAACTGTGGGAGCAATTATTAGGAAATGGAAGACATACAAGACCACTGATAATCTCCCTCGATCTGGGGCTCCACGCAAGATCTCACCCCGTGGGGTCAAAATGATCACAAGAACGGTGAGCAAAAATCCCAGAACCACACGGGGGGACCTAGTGAATGACCTGCAGAGAGCTGGGACCAAAGTAACAAAGCCTACCATCAGTAACACACTACGCCGCCAGGGACTCAAATCCTGCAGTGCCAGACGTGTCCCCCTGCTTAAGCCAGTACATGTCCAGGCCCGTCTGAAGTTTGCTAGAGTGCATTTGGATGATCCAGAAGAGGATTGGGAGAATGTCATATGGTCAGATGAAACCAAAATAGAACTTTTTGGTAAAAACTCAACTCGTCGTGTTTGGAGGACAAAGAATGCTGAGTTGCATCCAAAGAACACCATACCTACTGTGAAGCATGGGGGTGGAAACATCATGCTTTGGGGCTGTTTTTCTGCAAAGGGACCAGGACGACTGATCCGTATAAAGGAAAGAATGAATGGGGCCATATATCGTGAGATTTTGAGTGAAAACCTCCTTCCATCAGCAAGGGCATTGAAGATGAAACGTGGCTGGGTCTTTCAGCATGACAATGATCCCAAACACACCGCCCGGGCAACGAAGGAGTGGCTTCGTAAGAAGCATTTCAAGGTTGTTGCTGGTATTCAAGGTCCTAGCCAGTCTCCAGATCTCAACCCCATAGAAAATCTTTGGAGGGAGTTGAAAGTCTGTGTTGCCCAGCGACAGCCCCAAAACATCACTGCTCTAGAGGAGATCTGCATGGAGGAATGGGCCAGAATACCAGCAACAGTGTGTGAAAACCTTGTGAAGACTTACAGAAAACGTTTGACCTGTGTCATTGCCAACAAAGGGTATATAACAAAGTATTGAGAAACTTTTGTTATTGACCAAATACTTATTTTCCACCATAATTTGCAAATAAATTCATTAAAAATCCTACAATGTGATTTTCTGGATTTCTTTTTCTCATTTTGTCTGTCATAGTTGACGTGTACTACAGGCCTCTCTCATATTTTTAAGTGGGAGAACTTGCACAATTTGTGGCTGACTAAATACTTTTTTCCCCCACTGTATATACACACATATACATATACACACATATATACACACACATACACACCCACATACATACATACATACACATACATATCCTTTAAATATATATATATATTCCCCTTTATTACTTTCCAACCCCGCCACCCTTTCCCCACTTGGAGTAAACTAGTGAACAACAACGCCTAGGCCTCTACTTCCAGCCCATACCCACTATCTACATTTTATGGACACAGTCAATTTTACAATAATTACATTTTGTTTGTTCTTTCTCCTGAACTTCTTCTACTCTCAACCTCTCCGATCATTTTCATGATGTCCATCCGGTTTGCTTCTATATGCCATATCTTTCTAACTGTGCTCCTTCACAACAGCTTCCAACCTACAACCCATACACTTATTATGGACACAGCGTGCCTACATTATTAGTTATCTTGTTGTTGTTAGTTGTTATTAGTCCCATCCTTCAATTCCATTCAACATCTCCCATCTATCTTTTAACACCATTCATATAGGATTTCTATTTGCCATATATATTTCAACTGTACTGTGATGTCTTACAAATGTTCTGAACCTTTCTATTCTCATTGTTTCTACAGATTGTGAATTGAAAATAAACATTTTTGCTAATAGTATTATTATGTTATTGATCGATTGACTATGACTTTTTAGATCACCCAGTAGTGCTATCTGCAGGGTTAGCTCCAGGTAAATATTGCAATCCTTTAGCCATTCCTGGACCTGTGTCCAAAAACAAGCTACAAATGGACAGTACCAAAACAAATGATCTAATGATTCTGTCTCTTCGCAGAAAAATCTGCAGAGCTGGGAAGATTGTATCCCCCATATAAATAACATTCTATTGGTAGCAAGAATTTTATATAATAATTTAAATTGAAAGATTCTAAGTTTTGAATCCGGTGTCGTTTTGCGTATCAGTTCATAAACACTATGCCATGGGATCGGTACGTCAAAAATCTCTTCCCAACTATTTTGCAATCTATATGGGACGGCTGTCAATCCTTTGGTCCTTAAATGAAACTGATATACTTTTTTATTTATCACAGTTTTCCTTAACCAATTATGTTCTTTAATGCAAGGCCGGCAGACAAGTTCCTTACTTTCTCCTCCTTCCACTTTCCTCTTCCATTTTTGCGGTAAGGCTGCAATTATTTGGTTGTAATTTTGGATAGAGCAGACATTTCCATATGTTTTTGTTAGCTGCATGTGCGACATAACTCCACCAGTCCTACCGATGATATCATTTACAAAGATTATACCTTTTTTAAACATTTTGTCCAAAAAAAAAGTTTTTGGGTCAATTAGTATATTTGAGTTTAACCACAATATTTGTTGGATTATTTGTTCTGTCGTTTCTGGAGGATTAAATTGAAATTGCAACCAACTTTGTATGTCTTGTTTTAGAAATAGTGATATCTGGGAGATTATTTCCTTTTCAAATAACTGAAAGTGAGTGGTTGTAATCTGAATAAAGGGAAAAAGGCCATTCTTGAACATTGGGTGAGACAATCTTACTAATTTGCTAGAGAACCAGTTCGGATTTAAGTATACCTTTTGTATGACTGAAGCTTTTAGTGATAGGTCTAATGCTTTAAATATTTAATAATTTCTGTCCTACGAATTCATATTCATTATATGAATAGGCCCGTTTAATTTTGTTTGGCTTGCCGTTCCAAATAAAATTGAATATTTTTTTCTTATATAATTTAAAAAACAGTTCGCTAGGCGTAGGCAAGACCATAAGCAAATAGGTAAACTGGGATAATCAGGGTGATTTTTTTCACAAATTGAAAGGCACCCACCTTTCCATGGTAGCAAGATCTTATCTATTTTTGCTAACTTTCTATTATAATTTATTGAAGTGAGATCATTTATTTCCTTTGGGAAATGTATTCCGAGTATATCCACATCACCATCAGACCATTTTATCGGTAAACTACATGGCAATGTAAAAATTGTATTTTTTATTGATCCAATACGTAATATAGTACATTTGTCATAATTTGGTTGTAATCCAGAGAGGTTAGAAAATGTATCTATATCCTCTGAGGCTGTGGAGTGATTCTAGTTGTGAATTTAAAAGAAAACTTGAATCATCAGCGTACAATGACACCTTTGTTTTTAAGCCCTGGATTTCTAATCCCCTGATCTTATTGTTGGATCTGATTTTAATAGCTAACATCTCGATGGCCACAATAAATAGATATGCCGATCGTGGACAACCTTGTTTCACTCCTCTTGACAGTTTAAAACTTTCTGAGAAATAGCCATTATTTACTATTTTACACCTAGGGTTACTATACATGATTTTGACCCATTTTATAAGAGATTCACCAAAATTGAAATGCTACAATTTAGTATTAACACTGGAATGATAGATGTGCAAAAGATGATGTGCAAATAGAGATACTGGGGTGCAAATTAGCAAAATAAATAACAATATGGGGATGAGGTAGTTGGGTGTGCTAATTTCAGAATGGCTGTGTACAGGTGCAGTGATCGGTAAGCTGCTCTGACAACTGATGCTTAAAGTTAGTGAGGGAGATAAGTGTCTCCAGCTTCAGAGATTTTTGCAGTTCGTTCCAGTCATTGGCAGCAGAGAACTGGAAGGATTGGCGGCCAAAGGAGGTGTTGGCTTTGGGGATGACCAGTGAGATATACCTGCTGGAGTGCATACTACGGGTGGGTGTTGCTATGGTGACCAATGAGCTAAAATAAGGCGGGGATTTGCCTAGCAGTGATTTATAGATCACCTGGAGCCAGTGGGTTTGGCGACAAATATGTAGTGAGGTCACAATGGTGGGTAGTATATGGGGCTTTGGTGACAAAACGGATTGCACTGTGATAGACTACATCCAATTTGCTGAGTAGAGTGTTGGAGGCTATTTTGTAAATTACATCGCCGAAGTCAAGGATCGGTAGGATAGTCAGTTTTACGAGGGCATGTTTGGCAGCATGAGTGAAGGAGGCTTTGTTGCAAAATAGGAAGCCGATTCTAGATTTAACTTTGGATTGGAGATGCTTAATGTGAGTCTGGAAGGAGAGTTACGGTCTAACCAGACACCTAGGTATTTGTAGTTGTCCACATATTCTAAGTCAGAATATTCGGGTAGGTAACGTTCTCCTGGCATCCGCCAAACCCAGATTCGTCCATCGGACTGCCAGATGGTGAAGCGTAATTCATCACTCCAGAGAACGTGTTTCCATTGCTCCGATTTTTACACCTCTCCAGCCGACGGTTGGCATTGCGCATGGTGATCTTAGGCTTGTGTGCGGCTGCTCGGCATGGAAACCCATTTCGTGAAGCTCCTGACAAACAGTTCTTGTGCTGACGTTGCTTCCAGAGGCAGTTTGGAATTACAAACGAGGACAGGCGATTTTTACGCGCTATGCGCTTCAGTACTCGGAGGTCCCGTTATGTGAACTTGTGTGGCCTACCACTTCGACACTGAGCCGTTGTTGCTCCTAGACATTTACACTTCACAATAACAGCACTTACAGTTGACCGGGGCAGCTATAGCAGGGCAGAAATTGGACAAACTGACTTGTTGGAAAGGTGGCATCCCATGACGGTGCAACGTTGAAAGTCACTGAGCTCTTTAGTACGGCCATTCTACTACCAATGTTTGTCTATGGAGATTGCATGGCTGTGTGCTCGATTTTATACACCTGTCAGCAACAGGTGTGGCTGAAATAGCTGAATCCACAAATTTGAAGGCTTGTCCACATACTTTTGGACATGTTGTGTATTGTTTTATTTTCTGTTAGCCACTGTTAGCTGAACTTGCCCTGATTAGGATCTTGCTATAACTATCAACAACTGCAAGGAGAAACACGCCTGTGCCCTTGTGAAAAGCAGACTTCCTTTCAATCTTGCCAATAAACTGTTTTGTGTTTATGTAGATGAAAGCAGCACGAGCCAAGTTCACTTTCCAGGCTCAGTCACCCAAGTGAGTTATAATGCCTACTGATCGCCTGCAAACAGTTTTCTCTCTCACACATCCATTGACCGATATTGTCAGTAAAAAGAAGCACACACTGTAATTATATCACATTTAGGGCGGCCAAATGTAATTGGACCAAACTGTTTTTCTCAGCAAGCCCAATAGCGTAAATGTTAACATAGAGTTACTAGAAACAAACCCTTGTAACAGAGGATTACAAAAAAGCAGACCTCTTCCTTTAATCTAATGGATGTCTTTCATACCATAGTCTGACCTTTCTTCTCCTCTTCCTAGGGAACTGTCTCTACAGAAGGGGGACATAGTTTACATCCACCGGCAGGTAGACACCAACTGGTTTGAAGGAGAGCATCATGGGAGAGCCGGTATCTTCCCCACAACCTATGTGGAGGTTGGTGTGCATCCATCTAACTTCTGAGCGTGGATCTTATATGAAGTGCTCCACTTGTCATTCTGAACCTCACCCGTCTCTAATTTCTGCCCCCAGATTGTCCCTCCTACAGAGAAGCCCACGCCCATCAAGTCTCCAACCATCCAGGTGCTGGATTATGGAGAGGCAGTGGCTCTGTTCACCTTCACTGCAGACCTGCCTGTTGAGCTGTCCTTCCGCAAAGTGAGCATCCTACTATGTACTCTCTATTCAATCTTTAGCCCGCTAATACTTATATCTTTAGGACGTTGATTCTCATTTCCAATCTTTAATCATTTACAGTATTGTACCTATACCGTATTTCTCACATTGCGTGGGTTTAATTCACTGAGACACCCTGCAACATTAGATAGATATTGACAACAGAGTTTCCCCTATAAAACCACTTCCCCAGCAGTGGTGGAAAGGGTAGCGGTTCCCATAGACTTCCAGTCAATGAGCCAACGACTATTTAAAAGCGTGTCACGGCAGAAATATACAGTGCCTCCAGAAAGTATTCAGACCCCTTGACTTTTTCCACCTTTTGTTACGTTACAGCCTTATTCTAAAATGTATTAAATAAAAAATGTTCCTCAGCAATCTACACTTAATACCCCATAACGATAAAGAGAAAACAGGTTTTTAGAAATTTAAAAAATAACAAATAAAAAATACGTATTTACATAAGTATTCAGACCCTTTGCTACGAGACTCGAAATTGAGCACATGTGCATCCTGTTTCCATTGATCATCATTGAGATGTTTCTACAACTTGATTGGAGTCCACCGGTGGTAAATTCAATTGATTGGACATGATTTGGAAAGGCACACTCCTGTCTCCCGGTCCCACAGTTGACACTGCATGTCAGAGCAACTACCAAGCCATGAGGTCGAAAGAATTGTCCGTAGAGCTCTGAGACAGGATTGTAGGCCACCGCTGCTAAATGGATAGAGGGGAAACACTGGACGACTACTGTACCTGAGATCTGAATTAAGTGAGAGTTATGGTACTTATGTCATGAACCATATCTGTGCTCCCCTCTCTGTCTCAGGGCGAGGTGATCTGTGTGACCAGGCGTGTGGATGACAGGTGGCTGGAGGGACGGATCCCAGGGACCAGCCGGAGTGGCATCTTCCCCACCAACTACGTCCAGGTTAACAAGTTACCCCGCACCAAATCATCCTCGGATGACTACCCAGCATGCCCCATGTCACCCACATCCCCAGAACCAATGAGTCCAGGACGCCCTCTACACTCACCTTGCTCGCCTTTGACCCGCTCGCCTCTGAGTCTGACCCCCTCCTCCCGCAGCCCTGAACCAGGATACTCCCCCCTGAAGCTGTCCTCACCCATACCCCATGGGACAGTAGCCTCCCATTCACGTTCATCCCCCCAGCCCTCTCTATCCAAAAAAGCACCCAGTCACTGGCCACACCCCACTTCTGGGCCTGCCTTCCCCACCCCCCAGAATAACCACTGGGGAGGAGCACACCCGGCTTTGCACAACTCCACTGGCAGAGCTGTTTCACCATCCAATCAGATATCACCATCTGCCCACAGGGGAGGAGCAGCCCTGACCAATACCCCCAAACCACAAACGACCAACAATGCTGGCTCAACAGTGGTGCAGCACCAACCGTGAGTAAAAAATTGTAATCAATCAAAATGTGATTTTATATAACGTGATTGAGGTACTGTCTCATCTCATTCTTCATTGCCACAGTCTATTAATCTGGCCCTTAATCAAATCCAAAACCCTGGCCTGTGCTCTCTCACTCAGATACAAGGCAGTTTACAACTACAAACCACAGAACAAAGATGAGCTGGAACTGAGAGAGGGGGACATAGTACAAGTGATGGAGAAGTGTGATGATGGCTGGTTTGTAGGTAAGGAATTTATACAAACCTTACGTTCAGAAGACAAATTAAGTGCGCCCTCTATTGGGCATCACATGACATTACAGGTATGAATTTAGATGACTCATTTTCTTACAGTATTTGTAGGATGTACAGTATGAGAAAACAACCATTTGGTTTATTATGTGCTCTGCTCTTTCCTTAGGTACGTCAAAAAGGACACATGCCTTTGGGACTTTCCCAGGGAACTATGTGACACCAGTGTAACTGCTTCACTCTGCCTGTCCACTCCACCACCACCTGTGGACATATTTAGACCAGCTTGCTTTAACCAGCACATCAGATCACTCCAGCAGCCGTATGATCAACTCCTGACCCCAACACCCCCTGTCCTCCCCCTTTCACCAACCTGGTTAAGTCAGGTCTGCATGTTCACGTCAGCCAGTGACCACAGCTGTTGGCCAGTGTGGAGCTGGAGGTAGGAACACCGTGTGGTTTGACACCTCATCCCCAGCATGTGTGTTCCATCACTGAATAGACTTGGAGTTTTCACAGACACTGCTTGAATGGATAGAATGAATGCTGATGATGATAGTGTTCCAGGTGTAAAGAAATAACTTTGTCCTCATTGACTACAATCATTTATTATGGTGACAACTCAAATGACATTCCTTCAGCACAGTTGAGCTACTGCCTTTATACAGCAATGGACCTCCTGCAATCCTCTTACGGAGTGTTCTCCTTAGCACATACCTACTCCTCTTTCTGTCACCCAAGTGCCATCACAGACACAAATGCCTGAGAATATCATTAGTGTGACGTTCTCTATAACGAAATGACAATGAATGTTGCCTTTGAAATGTCTTCCTCCACTTTGATTTCAGATCTATAAAAACGTCCTGTGTGAGTCCAAGGCTACAGAACTGATATGTCCGTCCAATATACATGAAGGGATCACTTACACTATTACTTTGAACAATGCCATAAAATATTTGTTGCTTAGTTGCAAAATAGTTTTGCTGATTCTCCATTTGTTAAAGACTGTATAAGTACTGTATGCAGCAGATAAAAACAATGTATTAATGTCCTTCAGTGTGTTATTGTTAGCTACTTACGTATTTAATGAAGCACAATGATTCAGCCAGCCAGTTGTGCAGTTTGTATTTCTGTTGAGAACAGAGGAAGTGTTGAGTGTCAAAGTGGAAGTTGAATAAAATGGTGGAGAAGAGAAGAGGAGGTATCTTTACAAAATATGTTGGCATAACCCCCAAGTGAATGCAACATGGAAAGTCTTGACAAAACAGAAGTGGAGCTACATCAATTGTATCAATTCAGTGGAACCTCTGGCATTTTTAGGTCGTGATTCATGGGATAACAAAGAGAGATGCCTCACTTTGCTTCACTTTGGAGCACAGTTCTTTTCTAAAACTAGAATCCTACTTGTCAACTACAACATCAAAACCCACAATGGTGTTCAAACATTTCAGAAGGAAAGGACAGAACAGTAAGATGGACTAGTAGATTGATTCCTAGGGCTACTGTACATTTGATTTGGTAGCTCATTTCCACTGAAAACGGTGTTTGTTTACTACTGTTTCTATAATCTGCCGCTTTGCAAATGAACTAATTTGCTTTTACATATACATTAAAAGAGCTAATCGGAGGTGTGCATGCAAGTGTAACCAATGGAAAATATAATATGGTAAGCCAATGGTAAGCAATTAAGCAGTCCTTTCCTTTATGGACTTTTACAAACCCCTATCATGATGTTTCCAACTGAAATGTTTATCTGCTTTGTTCATTCATACCATTGTAAAAATGCAACATACCTTTTCTAGCAACAAAATATGATTGTACAGGGTTTTAACCATGTATCAGATAAAAATATAATATATTTCCTTTAATACCAAACATTGTATCTCATTATCTATGATACACACTATGTTATTCAAATAAACCATACAGAATGATGATAAAACGGTTTTGATGTGTAACTCAAATTGATTCCAAAGCTGTTTGACATTTGTGAAGTAGCCTAACCTACCTCTATTTAGTTCATAAAAAGGAGATCACAGTTCAAACTCAGGATGGGGTGGAAGCTCAGAACTGGAGGACTGTCATAGAGATAGATAGAGGACTCTAGCTGGATATAACCTGTTTTAGCTTGGACATTGCCATTGAGGGTTTCCACCATTTTAAAGTAGTCAACTGGGTGGGGATTCCTATGGGTTGGGAGCGATCAGCCTATGATCAGAGCATTGTGTTCTTCAAATTGTGTTTGCTATGGATGGTCAATGGCTTTAAGCTATATCACCGCCATCTAGTGGCTACAATAAATGAATGACACACAAGTTTTGATTCAGGGCTCCAGCACTGCAGGTGGTGGTAAATCACCAATATTAGCTTTATGCTTTATTCAAACTAAGAAGAAGAACATTTACTACTTTAAAATGGAGATGCCCTTCCTGTCACAGACACCATAATGGCACAGATACAAAGATGAGTCCTCTATCTCTGTAAGGACTGTCTATTTTATTGCAAAGTGTGATCGGAGAGGAAGAGGCGAGATGGTTTACTCCGCCCAAAATCTGTCCACATTAAGCAGATAATAAATTATTAATCAAGAGAGATGTTTTTGTATGGGGGGCAATGAGAGTGTCAAATTTAGTCAAGATACAAATTAATTGCTATTTTGATACGTGAGGCTTATTTGATATAATAGACGTTTCGAAATGCTTAGGTTGTTACGAGTGTATTGATATGTGTGATGCACATGACATCCTGGCAACTTTGAGAAAAAACACTTCATATCGGAGTTGTCCCTGTTGAAATTCGAGACGGTCTATACATATTCATGAGGCTAGCATAGCATCTCACTCTCCATTGAATACATGCGGTTGACGTCAACTCCCCTAATAGAATATTCAAAAACGCATTCAAATAACGAGATGTATTTCTCAATCCAAACAGAGGAATAGGAGGGACTTTGACAGCCCACTGTTTTGCTCTGTGGAAAACAAATCCCATTGTTAGGCTGGAGACACAAGCATCTCGTCATTATATCCAGTATCTCTGGTGTGATGATGAGCCCAGAGGGGCACTTGACTATGGCGCCATTTCCTCTTCTCACGTTGTGAAGGACAGTCGGACATTCTCTGATAAAATGTGTAGCATACTTTATGCCCCACACTGAAAACATGTTGTTGAGTGTTTTACATTTTAGTTATTTTGCAGAGCGAAATACAGTAGTAAGTGCATTGATTTTCATATTTGTTCATACTGGTCCCCGGTGGGAATTGAACCCACAACCATGCCATTGAAAGTGCCATGCTCTACCAACTGAGTCACACAGAATTTTTTGCCTTTGCTGCCGTTAATACCAATTTGTAAGTCGCTCTGGATAAGAGCGTCTGCTAAATGACGTAAATGTAAATGTTAATTTATATTAGTTGATTAGGCCTACATGTTGCATTGATTGCAAATGCTGGTTGCAGTGGCGATTTTAGCATGTAAATCTTGTTGGGGCAAAAAAACAAAACAATGTTTTAGATGCATGCCAGCAAAGCCACAACACTAAACAATACATTAATTGTACTATAATGGTGACAAACGGTGCCCACAAACTGTTAAGGCCTACATAAAGCTGTCCCAACAGCAGAGCTTTTCAGCACCATGGAGTGAATCCTTACCACTGCTACACCTGGCTATCATCGGAGCCTTGTCTGGCAGCAAAACAGTTCATTCAGCCTCATTTACTGCCTTTACAAAAAACATAGCTGATTTGGCTGACTTGCTTAAATAAATGTGGTTTCTACTGACAATTGAGATGTACAAACTCTGGCATAAGGGGACGACGAGCAGATAAGAGGCAATCCGTAATTTCGATTAAGACATTAATGAGCGAGCTAGGACGGACGTAGTCAATTTAACTATTTGTTCAGCACTTCTGAAATGTACAGCGACAGAATTCAGAACATAGGCCGTTCTTACAGTATTCTCCCTGTACACCAAGTCAGAACCGTAGGATAAATAAAGGGGGCATATAAGCAGACAATGAAAGCTCTTACAATATTCAATGATGACATTTCTCTAAAACAGGCTATAGGCTACATGTGCACCACCAAGTCAGAACAGTAGGCTAAATTATGAGGGGGAAAGGGACCAAATTATTAGGGCGAGGCACATGGGCTACTAACAGCTTACTACACAACATACACTTAGTATTACTTTCTTTGTCACGAATTCCGCCGAGACTGCTCCTCCTCCTTGCTCGGGCAGGCTTCGGCGTTCGTCGTCCCCGGAGTACTAGCTACTACCGCTTGATGTCTCGATGTTTGTTTGGTCTTGTCTTGTTAGTGCACCTGTTTCGTGTTATGTATTGATTAGGTCACCTATAAGTTTCCTTTAGTTTTGTTTGCAGTTGTGTGTGATTGTCCGCCTGTCCGTTGATGTATGGTATTTGTTCTGGTGTTGATAGTGTATTTATGCACTGTATGCGTAATCGCTCGCCTCCAGTGTTTGAGGCCCGTTATTTTGTATTGTCTTGTTCTTCTGTGTCCTGCGCCTGACTTCAACACCGCATCCACATCAGCTTGTGACAGAATCACACACCTATACTATGGAGTCAGCAGGAGCAGCGGCGGCGACCGAGTCGCTGGAGGATTGGGTCAGCTGCCAGGACGCCAGGATCCAGCAACTCGGCTCCGCCATGCAAGAGGTGATGAACACCCTGCGCCGATGGGAAAGGGGAGGTGTGCCCACACCTCCTCTTACCTTACCACCACCATCGGCCAGCCCCACCAGACCAGCTCCGGAGTCCAGTGGGATTCGGCTCTCGCTCCCGAGGGCGTATGATGGCACCGCAGCCGGGTGCCCTCGGGATACGAGAGCGTTTCCGCCCTCATCTCCTGTCTCTCCGGCAAGGCGTTGGAGTGGGCCAACGCCGAATGGAGGGGAATAGACGCCGCCACCGTCAGCTACGCGGAGTTCTCCCGCCGCTTCAGGGCTGTGTTCGATCACCCTCCTGAGGGTAAAGCGGCGGGGGAGCGTCTGTTCCACCTCCGACAGGGGAAGAGGAGCGCACAGGAGTTCGCCCTGGATTTCCGGACTCTAGCGGCGGATGCGGGGTGGAATGAGAGGGCCCTCATCGACCACTATCGGTGTAGCCTACGTGAGGACGTTCGACGAGAGCTGGCCTGCAGGGACACCACTCTATCCTTCGACCAGCTGGTGGACATGTCCATCCGTCTGGATACCCTGCTGGCCACCCGCGGACGTTTCGAGTTGGGGCCGTCCATTCCATCCCCCAGCATCTCAGAGCCTAGCCCTATGGAGCTCGGGGGTGCTGGCGCTAGAGAGAGGAGGAGAGCGAGCCCGAGGGGGGCCATCCCCTGCACCAACTGTGGCCGTGGAGGACACACTGCGGCTAGGTGCTGGGGAGGGTCTCCAGGGAGTCGGGGCAACAGGTCACGCACTGGGGAGTCATTCCAGGTGAGTAGGCGCCCCACTCACCCACAGCTCTCTGTTGTTCACTTGTGTATACCTGTGGTATTTCCTCAGGTTGCATCTCATTCCCAGCATAAGGCGCTAGTCGATTCAGGCGCAGCTGGGAATTTTATTGATCGGAAATGTTGTATTAAGTTAGGGATTCCCCTCCTGCCCGTTGATGCACCCTTCCCTGTCCATGCCCTAGATAGCCGCCCGTTGGGATCTGGGTTGATTAGGGAGGTCACAGCGCCACTAAAGATGAAGACGCAGGGGGGTCATGAGGAGATCATTCAGTTGTACCTGATCGACTCTCCTGCGTATCCCGTGGTGCTGGGGCTTCCTTGGTTAATCACCCATGACCCCACCATTTCGTGGCAACAGAGGGCTCTCAAGGAGTGGTCTGACCAGTGTGTTGGGCGATGTCTAGGTGTTTCCGTTGGGGCGACCACGGTGGAGAGTCCGAACCAAATGCCCGCAATGCACATTCCCCCTGAGTATGAGGATTTGGCACTCGTGTTCAGCAAGACTAGGGCGACGCGATTGCCACCTCATAGACAGGGAGATTGTGCGATAAACCTCCAGACAGGTGCGGCACTCCCGCGGAGCCATGTGTATCCTCTGTTTCAAGAGGAGACGGCGGCTATGGAGACATACATAGCCGAGTCCCTGAGACAAGGATACATACGGTCCTCCACTTCCCCTGTGTCCTCGAGTTTCTTTTTTGTGAAGAAGAAGGATGGAGGGTTGCGCCCGTGTATTGATTATCGTAGTCTCAATCAGATCACGGTTAAATACAGTTGCCCTCTTCCTCTGATTGCGAGTATGACTGAATCATTACGCGGAGCGCGTTTCTTCACAAAACTGGATCTCAGGAGCGCCTATAACTTGGTGCGCATTAGGGAGGGAGATGAATGGAAGACGGCATTTAGTACCACCTCAGGTCATTATGAGTATCTCGTCATGCCATACAGGTTAATGAATGCTCCTTCAGTCT